TTTCGTCAGCCTGTTTAGGATGATCCTCTCCAAGAATTTTCCGAGTGTATCCAGTAGGCATATAGGCCTGTACAATGCTGGATCCCCGGCGGTTTTCCTGGTTTCGGCAGCAGCTCTAGCTTCTGTATCTTCCACCTGTCAGGGAAGTGACCCTCGTCCAGGCGTTCCCGGACATGTTCAGGATGGTGCTGCAGAAATGCCTGGACGAGGCCACTTTCAACGCTACGTTGGAGATTCCATCCGGACCGGGAGCTTTCTTCCTAAGTAACCAAAAGTTCTGATAAAAGGCTATTTGTGGCTTAAGCAGCTTGTTTGGTGGTGGTCTATAGAATTCTAAGCAGCCTCATTTTTAAGTCGTTATAAGAACTTGAAAGTACCGGTATCATAATTGAAGAGCATTCTAAGCAGCTTCTGGCGGAACTTGAACGGAACTTTTAGAAAATAAATTAAAAAAGGTTTTTGTCCTCTACACCAATTCTATATTTTAGTTCGCACTTTTATGAAAATTATTTCTAAAGGCAGGTATGAATGTGTATTGATTTATCAGCATTAGTATTAGAGAATTGGAGTTATTTGAAGAAATACCCAGTCCTTCTGCGTGAGAGCCCCAGCACGAACCGCAACGTCATTTGAAATATATTAAAGTGAGCTGTTGTCCCGCCTACTGTTTGAGTTTTCAGTGCCAGCTGTCTGACTTGAATACGAAGCACAACACCTTGTTGAATTTTAAATTGGTGTTTGCCTGCTTGGTATTCCAACACATTTGTGGCGCAGTGGTTAGCGTTCGTAGATCGCATGCCGAATACACGGGTTCGCTTTAGCTTTTTTTTATATTTGTATAGAATATTGATGCACTGCATAAATATAAGAATTATGATTTATTCGAGCCACTGATCATTTCATATTTACGTACATTAAATTTTGTTACTAATAAAGACTTGTGCGGATTGTTTGATGTGGCTTGAAAGTTCTGTCGGAACTTTATTTGAACCTTATGGAACTTGAAAGTTCTGTCGGAACTTTATTTGAACTTTATGGAACTTTATTTGAACTTTACGGAACTTGAAAGTGATTTTAATCGTTGAATGTGGAACTTTTGGTTACTTGGGTTCACCTTCAATCCTTTCGCCACTGCTACGAGTTCCTCGTTGGTGACTTCGATGTTATCTCCCTCTCCTTCTCCGTACGGTGTAGGTGGTCAGGTCGGTGGGTCGTGCTTCGGGAAAAGTCTTTCAGCTTCTCGAGCAGCAGGCATCGTTGGACCTCTGATCTTCGCCATCACGACTCGGTATGCGTCGCGCCGTCTGTTATTTGGCTCCAGTTTCCTCGGCATGGTCGTGTCACATGCTCTCACTAACGTTTCTGTCAGCTCGTCCGCGCGGGACGCCAGTCCACACGGAGTGCCTCAACGAAAAGATCCTTGTCGAAAGCCTTCGTCTTCCACTTCCGGTCACAAGTTCTCGTCCTCCGTACTACCACAGTAATCCGTTGGCCGATGTCATATCGTATCGCCTGATGGTCCCTATGGGTATATCCTTCGCACACTCTCCAATCCACGACGCACTGCAGAAAGTAACGTAGATAATGGATTCCCGGCCATCTTTGCGAACAGTGGTGCTGGTGCCTTTATTGGCCAGCATAACTTCCAGTTTTGCCAGAGCTTCCAGCAGATTGTACCCTCCCGTCGTATGATTGTTACCGTCCTCTTTTTTGCAGAGCATACACCTCGATTGCTTCGTGCAGTCTCTTGCAATATGGCATTTCTCTCCGCATTTCCTGTACAGATCAGATCTGTCAGGGCCATTGCAGTTCCTCGTCTGGTGACCGAATCCCATGCACTTGAAGCATCGCTCCAGTTGCTTGGTAACCCGAGCAGTGGCTTTCAGCGAGCACACTGACCAGCCAACCTTGACCTTGCCCGTCTCCAACAGCTTATTCGCTGCAACTGTCGAAAGCCGTATCACCAACCGGTGGAAACTAACGATTTTAAATTGGTTCACTACTTGAATAGCCTATTGGTCCCAAGCAAACGATTAACGTACCCTATTCTAGTTGAAATTCTATTACTACATTATGTTTGTTTTGATTCGCTATGAAAATTTGACAGATAACATCAGGGGTGTGTGGATTCATGCAGAACATGCAGGGGTGAGTGAAATAGCTTGGGACTGCTTGGGACCGTTGTTCTGGTACTGAGTGAGCCAAAAAAAAATAATGATTTTCTTCGGGACCCAGTGGTCTTAGAGTTACCTCTATGCTAATACCCCGTACATACTATGGCTTATATCATGTAATATAGGCTGTCTTGCAATGAGTACTCATACATCTAGTTTTCACTGGAAATCCTATGTATGAGTGCTCATTGCAAGACAGCCTATATAACATGATTTAAGCCATAGTCTGTACGGGGTATAAGCAACAATCAATACGAGACTAACGATTTTAAATTGGCGGTATAAGCAACAATCAACTTGCTCAACTTTTTGGCTCAGCTCTGGTACTATCTTCGGTCCCTAGCTAATCGATTCACCCCTTGAAACATCGGAAAATCCACTAACCCCTCATTTTATCTGTCAAACTTTCATAGCAAATCAAAACAAACATAGTGTAGTACTGGAATTTATACTAGAAGGGGGTACGTTAGTCGGTTTGCTTGGGACCAATAGGCTTGTCAAGTAGTGAGCCAATTTAAAAACGTTAGTTTCCACCTGTTGGTAGAACTGCAGAAGCGAAGCAAACCATTTCCGAAGTATGACTGATCTGCAGGGGGGGGATATTTGATGGTTTTCATTGGTAGTACATTGCGGAAGGTACCACAGCTACACAGCAAAAAAAGTTGTTGAATATTACATCGAAACTGCTGCAACCAGGTCAATCCATCGGTTGTGTAATATCACATTGTACGATGTACATCGATTTTGCGAACAAAATTACATCCATTGACGTAATATTGTATCTGCTTTTTGCTATTACATCATTATTTCATACATCAGCTTGAATTACGTTGATCGATATTACATTTTTTTTTGCTGTGTACATAATGATCGTGAACTTGGTAAGCTTAAACATGTGGTAGGAGAAATCATAATCAGTGACACGATAGGTGATTTCTTCGGGGTCACGTACTTCTCAGTCGATCAGATGAACTGGTATTTTCTACGCTGCGATTGAACTTTCACCCGTTCGATTTCTGGTTTTGATTTCGTCGGGGAGCATTTAACAGACAGCTGTAGAAAATTTCGTTCACCATCAATCAAGTTACACCTTCCTTTCTACACAGGTTTCTATTGGATGGATCGAATTTGCCGTATAGGTTGAATGGCTTCCAGTTCCTCTTCCACTGCCCATAATAATCCATCAAAGATATTGAAAATGCTATTGGAGGCGAACCAGCCCAAGGCTGAAAGCCTCCTTAATAAAGCTAAATAATAATAATAATATTGAAAATGAAAACAAAATCACAAAAGTCATTATAACTTCAGGGTTGCCAAATTCATGAGATATTGACACTTTGATTGGCCTACTTCGGCACGTTAGGCACAGCTTTCGGCACAGCTAAATCTCGTGGCGCAGATTACTAAATCAAGCAGCTTCGAGGTTTATTTTTATTTTTATTGATTTTTATGAATGTCTGCTTCTCTTAATGATCTGGCCTAGGAGAAACAATGTCGAGAAATAAGGGGTTGTTCATAAACTACGTAGACAGCTTGGGGGGGGCAATCATTCACGGCCCATACAAATTTAATTTTTTTATGAACAATTGTCTACGCAGGGGGAGGGGGGTCAAGAATCCCAAAAAACTGTCTACGTAGTTAATGAACAGACCCTAATATTGTATCGATATTAAATTGATAGCATAGTTAGACGGCTTTTGGCTCTACAATTTGGCCAATAGTTCAGGGATTTGTCTTTAACCTTAGATAACTTCTTAAAACTTCAAGGGCTTCTAAGAAGATCAGGGAACATCGTAGAAATTAACGAAACTTAGTAGAAATGCTGGAATCTCAAAGAGCAAAGACATTCGGGGTAGTGTCATAGAATCATATCATATGATATACTAATCTTATAAGAGACAGCAACAACAATCCAGATATCCAGAGAACCGTTTTCTGGCCACCCTGCATCAGAATCGATATGGTGATTACACATTTCCTGTATGCTATGATGGTATGCAATTTAGAACAAATCGCGGATCTCTAGGTCTGCTTTCAAGAATTGACCATTTTCCCGGTGATTCTATAGGCACAGACTGTGCTATAGCACCATTATCCCATAGACCGAATATCTATAGGACCGTTTTCTGACCTCCTGGTAGGAGAATCGACATGGTGATGGAATATTTCCTTTTTGCTCATAATTGTATTCAATTTAGAAAAAAATCGTGAATCTCTAGGTCTACTTTCAGAAATTGACCATTTTGCCGGTGAATCCGGATTTCCGCAGAGCCACCTTCCAAGGATTTTCACGTTCCAAATGGCCAACCACAAGTATAATTGATTCTCTGTCTGTTTCGTTCGGAAGTAGATAGTCATACCTTTCAAATAGTGGCTCAATTTTAAAATTTAGTAACCAAATTGCCGAGAACCAATCTTCCGAATTTATCCGTTCCGGCTGGCCAACCACAGCTCCAATCGGGTTTCTACATGTCCTAAATGAAAGTAGATAGCCACACATTTCCATAATGGTAGCATAATCATAACGATTGATCATCGCATTGCCGAGAACTAGATATGTCAACATGCATCGACACGCTGTTCGCAGCCTTGGGGTTTTTATCAGTTAGGCATTTGATTAACAAAAATCTCTTTCCGACAAACTTCAGATGAGTAGATGCTTATATTTTGATGTATTCAGCAAACTATCTTTATTAGGACTTATTTACAAATATCCCTCGAGAAACCCGTTACCCACTGCGATCTATCCAGCAAAACATTCTTAGTTCATCAAATCAGCTATTCAGTAATATGATTTCGAAGCTCTCAAACTTAAAAACGAGAACCAAAAAAATCATCTTAATCGATTTACTCTACGCACTAACAAACCAGTGGAAACAGCAAGGGCAGGAAAACCACATTACTTAGTAAGACACAAACCGCACCTTCACTTCTTAATCTTCTGCATTTGCGGAGCGGACAGTTTAACCTTTCCTGGAATATTACGAGCCAGCGTCTCATCCTTGACGGACTTTAGCAAATCTTTCTCCCGATTTGTGCACTGCTTGTCCTTGAGGAAAATCTGCAAAGCCGTCTTGCTGGCCTTGCCTCGCTTCCCGGTTCCCGGGGTCAGCTTGACCTTGAATTTGTAATTGTGCAGCGATTGGTAGGGCGCAATGACCGGAATGGCAAACAGCAGCTCGTCTTCCTCCATCGGTTGACCCGTCAGGGATTCCAACATGTCCACATCTGCAGCCGCTGGCGTATCGTCGCCTAGTTCTTCGAACTCTCCCGGCTTCAAGCGAGGCTGCGGTTTCTTGCCGGGGTTCTTCTTCGGATCGCTGCCGCCTGCTTCCTCTTCCTTTTGATTTTGATTAATCTTATTGCCTGCCGATTTCAGAATTTCCATCATCATTTTGCGTTCCTCCTCGTCTTGATCCTTGTACTTCTCCTTGATCTTTCGCATTTTGGCCTTTTGACCGCGCTTGAGGTGACCTTGTCTCTGCGGTTCTTCCTTCTGGTTTCTGGAAGCTACTTCCTGCGCCTCCCGAGCACGCTCCTTATCCTTGGCCTTTTGCTTGCTCTTTTGAATCTGTTTCATCCGGGGTGGAGCAGGCGTGATGATGAAAGGTTGGTTGTCACCGAAAGAGATAACATTTTCCGCTTCCGGTTTCGAGGTGACCCGTTGAAGGACCGGGACCGGGGCTGGCTGAACGGATACCTTTCCGGTGTCGTGTTCGACTTTGACGTGCGTATCCGGGAACTTTGGCCCATCGCTTTCGTCGCTTTCCGAATCCGATTCGGCCGATTGTTCTTCCTCCTTTAGCGTGATGGATTCAACTTGTGCTTGAATTTCTTCGGTTGCTCCCGGGTTTTCTGGCTCTCCTTTCTCATCGTGATCGGAGTCTTCTTCTTCTTCAAGTTGGATTTCCTGATCAGGGACTTCGGAAATCTCGGAACGATCATCCTTGCTTATGACCGATGCTTCATCGAAGGTTCGCACTTTTCTCTCACCTTTGTGTCGTTCAACGGAACTTTCCTCCAGTTTGAACATGAAACTCAGACCGAGAATCAAGTGGCAAGGCGGTAAGAAGTTCTTCTTTCCTCGGATCATGAAGCTACCGGTAGTCAAGTACTCTCCAGTGGGTGCAGTTTTGCTGACCTGCTCGCTCTTTACCCAGTAAGCACTGGTAACGACCTTCGCATCCCACGCAACGCTGTACGAAATAGCCATAGTTCCGGCCTCGAGGAGCGTCTTGGGAGGAATATCTCCTCCGGAAGGATTTTTGATTATAACACTTGAGGCACCCTGAATCTCCGCGTGAACGTAGATGTCCATTGGTCGCATGTAACGTTTCACAATCAACTCGTTCTGCTGCTGGTCTCGACCACCAATGACTAGATAGTTTTCCGAGCTGATGAACCAGTAGAACTTTTCAAACCAATAGACCTTGCGAGCCTTGGAGATCGTTGTTTGCGTTCGGACGTCCTTTAACGTTTGCATCGTCTTCTTTTCGGCATTCTTCAAAGCTTTCGACGACGACTCAATGGTTTTCTGCTCCTTGCGAGCGGCATATCGGCGCTGATCGTAGAACCGACGGGCATTGGCAAAAGCCGTCAAAGCCAGGTCAACATCAACCACCATGGGTTCAAGCTTTTCCTCGCCATCTTCACGATCTTCGTCATCCTCAAACTCTTCATCGAATGCACCATACGGATCTTTTAACATTACAGAAATGTGATTGATTTCCAGCTTGAGTTGTTTAATGCAAGAAGCAACCGGATCGTTGTTAGCCTGTGCTGCTTTGACCAGATCCTGAATATCCGACCATGACATTTGCGCCGCCAGGGCACTTTGAACAGCCAGAATGGCACTGTCCACCAGATTTTGATTTCTTGTAATCAACTCAGCCTTCTTTCGATCTTCCAGTTGCGCTTTAGTCAAATCATCTAATCTTTTCGCATGATCCGTTCGGACGTTGGACAGCTTCTTCAACGCTTCCCTCTCCTGGGCGAAAGACTACAAGAAAAAGTGAGATCAATTATCCATTAATTCTTAATTGCACCTTCACAATAGACTCCTACCTTCAAATCAATCTTCTGACCCTCCAATGTAGAATAGAACTCATCAACCGACACCGCAAAACTATCAAATTCCTTCACCGGTTCCCCCTTGTACTGATTGTACAGGAACGGATGGTACTCCAAGTTTGTATAATAAAATTCTTCCTGCTCCTTATCCTTAGACGGCTTCAAGTCCTTCTTTTGAATGATGTATCCCTTCGACGGTTCCTGCATGGCCTTCCTCAGCATCGTTTCTGCATCGTTAATCGCACACATCAACGCCGTCATATCCTCTTCCATGTTGAAAACCTTCGAAAACTCCTTCGCAATCGCCTTCTGCTTCTTCTTAACCTTTTTAGGCATCTCTGCCGCTGCGTCCACCGGCAATTCGCCACCAATTCGACATCCAAACAGCCCGTACTTGTGCAGAACATGGTCAATCACTGAGGCACCGTATTCCAGAATCGGATTCAAAGCCGTCCTCAACGTATCCCCAGGATGAGCCTTTGTTATTGCTTCCTTGACCTTCTCCATTGCTGGAGGGCCCTTATCTTCCTTGGCCCGATCCGTCGGATACTTCTCCCGCACAGCAAACCTCACCTCTTCCCCCTCCACATGGGGACGCAAAATGTTCAAAATCTTCAAATCGCAATCCGTTAGCAGAATGTTTCCCCTATCGTACAGCTCCAGGATGACGTGGTAAGCGGCTTCACCCACTCCAAACTGGAAATCCACGATTCGATCCACTCCCAGCTGCTTCATACTCTCCAGCCGTTTGTTCTTCAAGTGCTTCCTCAACTTCATCGTAAACCCGGACGGAGCGACATTCTTGGGCCACTCGAAGGCGGTCGTGTGGAACCGATTACCCGATTCCAACAGCAGGACCACTTTCTCCTCGTTCCGCGCTAACCGGATCAGGTAGGTTTTGTTGTCGATGTCGTAGATTTGGTTCACGCGCATTCCGACGAGCCTGTTTGGATGAGACGAGTCGAGCTAGGAACCATCTTTTGAATGATTGATGGATGAAAAAAAAAACTTACTTTTGCAGCTCCGTCACCGAACAGACCACATCGTAGGTGTTGAATCTGGTTTTCGTCATGTTGTTTTACAGATCTGAAAATGGTGAAAATTTCATGAGTTAATGGTCCGTTCCTACGTACCGATGAAGCCGAGTAGATGTGCTAGAATAGTTCGACGAATAATTGCTACTTACTGGGGATTTTACGGTAAAATATTGAAGAAAATTTCATTTGCGATTTCCTTCTGTTGCGAAAATCTCCCTTTTTGATGACACGCTGACTGTTTTCAAAGCGGGGGGTTCCTCGATGGTCAATCTGTCAAAGAGTAAGTTCAAGGTAAACCAGCCATTAAGGCTCTGAACCATTTGGTGGATTATTTTAACTTTTGGTTAAAATTTGACAGATGGAAAGTTATCGATTAACCCTGCTATCCGAGCATGGTTATTTCTGACAGACAAGAAGTTAAATTTTGACAACTGTGGCTCAAAAACCGGTCGATCGACAGCACGGGGATTTTCGAACATAGAAAATAACTTTCGAAATGTCACTTTTAACCACGAGTTAAATTTAACTCGGCAAATGGTTCACACCCCAAGGTGTTTCAAATTAGTTGTGCATTTTGGTCCACCTGAGTGGCATAAAAGAATTCTCGCGTCACTTTTCAAATAGACCAATGTAACAAATGTAAACAAATCGAGTTAAGCGATACAAACTATTGCTCTTCTTTCATTGTATGTGATACAAAAACATCCATCCAAATTTACTTTCATTTATTTAAGATAATCATTGATCAAAAATTGTCCAATGTACAGTTTGAAATGATGGGTACATGATTGTTACTTCGGTCATTCGGACTGCCTAACATGATTGGTGCTCATTTTCCAAAGGCGGGGCTAATCTAAAGTTAGGTACTATACTCTGAAATCTGTAAAAGGGAATCTAGTATCATGTAGACAAAACGTCCAATGTTTCAATCATTGATTATGTCATTGAGAAAAATCGTCCAATGTAACATGTCCGATGTACAACGCGACTTGTCAAAACGTCCTATGTGATTTTTTCTATGTTGTAGCATGAAATTCAAAGTAAAATTGTGATTTTACCGTTTCTTCTGAATTTTCAACGTTATTATATGCTGACTACATTAAAAATAGTAATGCAAAATGTATTGTTTTTAAACAGTTAAAATAATAATCTGTCGAACTTCAACTTCGATTTTCTCAAAATGGTGGATATGTTACATTGGTCTATTTGAAAAGTGACGCAAGAATTCCCGCATAAACGCGAACCATCGCATGACCTTACCGATAATGGTTATAAATTGTTTATAATCCCTGCTAAACTTCAACTGAAATGGTTATGGAACCTTACATGAACGTTTGTGTGATAAAGTTTTAACCTTATGTGTTATGGTTTTTTGGAAGCGGACCTTACAAATAATGGGTTGTTAAGAACCATTACCATTCCAAATTCTTGTTTTCTCCATACATTTTCGGAAAGAGAACTATATTAGAACGTTTTTACTTATGGTTTGAGAACATTAATGGTTATGGTTATGGTAGTCAGTAAGGTCCATTAATGGTTTTGTATTATCACTCAACTTTACGTGAAATATATCGTGAATTGGTAATCAGTAATTTACAGGCAACCAATTCGCGATATATTCCACATAAAGTTGATCGATGTTACAAAACCATTCATGGACCTTACTGGTTACCATAACCATTACCATTAATGTTCTTAAACCATAAGTTAAAAGGTTTTAGTAAAGTTTTCTTTCCGAAAATGTATGGAGAAAACAAGAATTTGGAATGGTAATGGTTCTTAACAACCCATTATTTGTAAGGTCCACTTCAAAAAAACTATAATCCTTAAGGTTAAAACTTTATCATTAAACGTTCATGTAAAGTTCCATTACCATTTCAGTTGAAGTTTAGCAGGGATTATAAACAATTTATAACCATTATCGGTAAGGTCAGTTTATGGTTCGCGCTTATGCGGGTTTAGCTCGTTTTGAGATTTTCTTATGGGAGCGAGCTGTAAACGAATAGATTTAGTGTCAACGATCAAAAATTTAAATCTTGATTTAAAAATCGAGATGAATGTTTACGGGATCGTTAAAAATATCGTTGTGCTCAAAAACGAAGCTCTATCAGATGATGTATAAAAATTGGTATTTTTTTCGAAGCTAAGCAACCCAATTCAGCTCGATTTGAGATTTTCTCAGCGATCAAGATTCCGACAGCAAACATAAGCACACTGAAACTTATTAGAGTAAACAGATAAATAATTCTGACTCTTCCAAGATTATCGATGAATAGTGGATGAAATCTATTGATATTGGCTGGTGCGTGTTATTTTCATTATGAATCGAATTCTAATCTAATCTAATCTAATCTCACACCAACACAGCCAGTTCATGAAAGCATCCTGGAAAATGATAGCTACACGCTAACTTGAAAGTACCCATTAATGGTTGAAAAAGACCCATTTTGAAGAAAAGTGGCTTAACTCATTAATGATTAAACAATTTTACCCATTAATGAGTATCTGTTACCCATTAATGAGTAATTGTTAATCATTAATGGGTAACAGATACTCATTAATGGGTAAAATTGTTCAATCATTAATGAGTAAAGCCACTTTTCTTCAAAATGGGTATTTTTTACTCATTAATGGGTACTTTCAAGTAAGCGTGTATACCTCTATCCTTTTTCTTGTCTATTTGGTATATTTTGTACATCAGAGATGCGCAAAATATATCAAAACGGCCAGGCCTACTGTGCAGCATTTAAGGGGCAAGATGATTCAGAAACATCGGGCCTGTTAAAATCAAAGATTAAAACACGTTGCGTCAGAATCAAGGGGTGGTCACTCTACACACTTACTTTGCGCCAACATTTTTCTCAGTGTACCTCAGTGTGCCGCAGCTGTATCAGCAGTGCCATGAAGTAGAAGAAGTAATTGCACTGACTTTTGTTTGCCTGTGAATAATGCCTTGTTTGGCAACCCGGTATTTTAACAGCTCTTGTTTTTGTTTTGATTTTCAATGTTTTCAAAAACATCCATCTTCGGCGGAAGGCCGACCCCGCACAACGAACGTCAATCATTAGTCAACCAGTCCTTCTGGGAGCCAGCGGACGATTTGCACCGAATTTGTCACCGCCCAAGTATCATCCGTCGGAGAACTGGAAACCAACACCGGCCGGAACACACGTCGGACTGATGAAGGACGCACCGCTGACCCGAAACGGACCAGTCAACTTCATTCAACCCGCACAGCAATAGGGCGCAGTGATGATGGTCTACGGACTCAATAACAACACAGCTAACACCGATAAGCAGTTCAATCTGTCCTTCCTGTATGGACATGTTGTCAGAATAAAGTTTCTGAAGACCAAAGAGGGTGCCGCCATGGTCAAGATGGGAACGCCATCGCAGTCGAACCAGTCGAACGTACACCCTGCCGCACAATTCGATCAGCTTCAAGGTCTACAACGCCTCCAAGAACAATCACTTCCCAGGCCAGCAAAAATCGCATTCTCCACTTCTTCAATACCCCATCCGTATGCCGTCCAAGGATCTGCTGCTGATTGCATTCACCATCAAGGACTGCCACCCGTCGCAAGTGCGAATGTTCCCGCTGATATCGGAAATTTCCTCCTCCGGATTGGTGGAGTTCCCGAGCGCAGCCCTGGCGGTGAACGCCATCATGAAGTGCTGATGGTGTAGTAGCGGTGGCGATGGATGTATTCGAGCAGTTCGAATGGTCGGATGGTTTAGTTTTTGTTTGGTTGACTTTCCGATTAAAACTCAAGCACCGCTTGTCGTGACCGGCCCGAGATTTCCAGCGTCGGCCACGGCTACACGAATTAGCGATTCAGCTCCTACGGCTGAGGCTGCTTCCTATGCTGCTTCTACTTTAGTTGCTGCTACTGTTCCTTCTGCTGGTCCGTCTCCTCTAAAATTCATTAAAAAAAATGACGGACCAGCAGCAGATTTGGAAGCAGCCGCAGCCGTGAGAGCTGCATCGCTAGTTCGTTTAGCCATGGCCGGAAACCTCGGTCAGGTCATGATACCGCTGTCATCTGTTCTTCGTCTGGGAGGAAATGTGGATGCGACTGCCGTCACGGGTGTAACGATTTTGAGAATCCATGGCGAGACTTGGTGGAGATTCACGGTTGTTTTGAAAATAATTTGATTATATTATGGCAACATCAATAACACATTTTGACACATGCACACTGAAGCGCAGAAAAAGTTCAGTGTTGCCAGTAACTTTAAATATCATAAAAATTGTAACCATGGTGCCAAACAGCGACAAGAACGACGCCCGGGGGTGCCCAAGTTTGATTTTGGCACACTGTGTAGAGTGACCAACCCCTTGGTCAGAATCCAATAAATTGATAAAACGTGGACATCTCGTACCGTACGTTCCACTGCATTGTTATTTATAATGATTGGTCGTTGGGAGCATCTTTTATTTTAGAAAACTTAAGATATGCTCAATTTTCCTCGAGTGGTTGGGACATGAGCACTAACTCTTTTCCTAGTCCATATGGCTTATGGCTATAGCGCCATTACTCGCTGTCTGAAAAGAGAAAAAATGAATAAAAGGCCGTAGGAGAAAGGAAATGGAAGAGGAAACCCTACACGGAGATGAAAAACAACCCAAAATTAAGTACTTTTCCCTCAATTCCGGGGTTCAGCCCAATAACCCAAATTTGAGTAAATCGCATATAGTAGTTTCCATTTAACACCAGCAAAAAAAATTATCTACTCTTAAGTATTTTCTACCCAAAATTAAGTTTAATTCACGCAAATTTGAGAATATGCAATTTACTCAAAAGTAGCTTATTGGGCTGAACTATATCGTTGGGTCGAATCTCTCGTTCCTTTTTTGACAACAATAACGAGTGCAAGTGAGAGGCTGAAGTCAATATTAAGTAAAAAGAACTCAAATTTTGGGTAGTATTTTTTCTCCGTGTAGTTCTATCTTACCTTGCAAAAAAGTGGGTCTCTAATCAATCTGCAGGAAAAGTTCGCTAAAACTCACAATGTCCATGGCTGTCACGGTGAAGTGATTGCCATGTAAATCAAGTGGGAATCACTTCATCGGTAATAAGGGCCAATGACTCGTGAACTTTTCCTTTTGTGTGCTTCATAAAACCTCGCAAAATTTTCCAACGAACAGGTGAGAACTAGACTTCAGTAGAGAGTAATAGAATGAAAATATATTAAAAAATATAAGAACACATAAATGAAAATAAAGGGAAGATCCCAGCCAGTTTCATAATTTTGTACTCTTACTGTTCTGCTGCACTACTGTTGAACCAAAGGCACTTCCAAGATTTTCCGGGTTATTTCCAAACTGGTTCAAAAATTCTTCAGGCAAACCATAAGCACATGAACTTTCAAGTACAAAACATCAAACGTCTAGAACCAGAAAAAAAGGGCTAGGACGACTCTCTTGCCGAATGAATCAATTGGCAAATCTATGTTGGAACTTGACCATATCCACTCGTTCCCAACCTTTGACAATAGCGTGCTCGACATTTTGATTTCTCATCAAAATACAGCACGAAAGCGGCTCTTCGAAATGATGTCTAAGACACAGTTGTAGAAACTGAAACAGGTGAATATATAAACAGGAACGAACTCACCAAATGAACGATGGTTTGCCCGTGAAGCAGAAACTTGGAAGACTGTTGCATCTTCTAAATGGATTCTTTAATTTTGAAAAATATATCCGTTTTTATATATCATCTGAAAGAGCTTCGTTTTCTGAGCACAGTGATATTTTTTTCGTACCCACACACTTTCATTTCGATTTTTAAATCAAGATTTAAAGCAAAATAATAACTTCACTGTTTGACACTAAACTGACAAACTGACAGTTCGCTCCCATACAAAGTGACACCGAGGGGCACGAATAAGGTGATTTTTGCAAAAGTAATCGTACTTATTTAAAATAGTTCCAGTGTACCAAAATTTATGAAATGTTGGGTTTGGGTTCCATTTTTAATGCAGATTACGAATATGCATTTACCTCAATATTAGAGATGAACTAGCCTAAGGCTAAAAATCTCTTAAATAAAGAATTTAAATAAATTAATTAAATTACCTCAATACCCTTAAAGAACCCTATAATTTGTCAGTGTTCTTTACTTCCTTCTACTTCACCCCTCCTCTCCCTTTTTATGGAATTCTAAAGTTTGCTTACCTCCGAATGGAATTTTTTTCTTAAGTTCCGCAATATTTTAATATAAATACATTTATGGCCAAATATTCTCAGCAATTGTCCACCGTGATTACAATGTATTAATAACACAGCATTGATTGACCCCCCACACCATTTTATTTGTCCTGAATTTGACGTCTTTTTGTTTGTTTTTTTACGAGATTTTTAAAGTGGTTTGTTTTCACGACAATTTTTACGCAACATCGTACTCGTACTGCACACTTCACCATCAGTGGTCGTGTTTTGTGCGCTGTTGTTACTCTGACACTCTTATCATAGTTTGTTATCAGTATTAGCCGTGTCGTGCATATCTCGCGGAAGCCCCACCATTCATAGCACAGGTACTGTCAACTCTATGACGTTGTGCAAATCATCCCGGCAAGTACCCATCAATTTATTTCTCATTCACAGATAACACTGGCAGTAGCTTACCTTATATTATGCTGAGCTGACCGTTCATTTTGCTGGTGGTGAAATCAGTCATATACACGCAAATTACTATGAACCAAGGCCGTCCGGAGGAAGTGGTTCGAGTGAATCTGTTGTTTTTTGCCAAATCGCGCGAGCTGGTCGGAACTTCTTCATTGGCAAACTTTCCTTTAGCCACTAGTGGTGGTCAATTGAGCGGCCTCCAAGTGCTAGGTTCCATTTGTGAACGTTTTCCGGAGCTGGCCGTCATTAGGAACAGTGTTATAATTGCGCACAACGAACAGTACTGTGAGAATCTAGCTGAAGGAATTCACCTGGCAGAAGGGGACGAAATTGCGGTGATTCCGCCTATCGCTGGAGGATAAGCTTTGGTTTGCTGACAAGATGAACTACCTCAAGTTGACATTCGATAAGTTGGAGGTTGGAGAGATTAATGATTTGGTGGCACACGAGAGCTGTGGTGCGATATCGTTGTTTGTCGGGACGACCAGAGATAATTTCGAGGGAAAAACAGTCAGTTTGATGTAATTTATCTGAGTGGGATGGAATTTGTAATCAGTTGGTTTTTATTTTTCAGGTAGTTCTACTGGAATATGAAGCCTACGAAGCGATGGCCTTGAAAACGATGAATCAAATCTGCGACGATCTGCGCGAACGCTGGCCGGACATTAAGAACATTGGGATCCACCATCGTTTGGGGACAGTTCCCGTCAAAGAAGCATCCGTGGTCATAGCCGTTAGTTCGCCTCACCGTAAGTCCAGCTTGGATGCGGTCCATTATGCCATCGATGAGCTAAAGAAAAGCGTTCCCGTGTGGAAGAAGGAACAGTATGCCGAAGGAGAAGGTTCCTCCGAGTGGAAGGAGAATAAGGAATGTGCGTGGTCGAAAAGTCATAGGGACAATCATATTTTATGACGATGGAACGGTGGAGTTCTGAATTGTACGTGCTAAATGGTGCAGAACAAAGTGTACACATGCATGATGTGAACAATCAGGGTCAAACCCTGTACAGAAACGAAAACGAAACAGATGGTGCTCACTAGAAAGGCCGGGTGCCAATGCAGTGTGCTATTTGCACAAAACTAAATGTTAAACGATTTCACTTGAAGGGTCGTTTTTGAGTTTGTTTACTAAGTATAAGTTATGAAGCATGGCTACCGCTTGTTACGTCACTAATTTCTGTTGTTAGATACAGGGGAGCACGATGATATAAAAAATGCCTTCTCATCTTCATCAGTGCATACATGTGTTAGTAGTTGGTAAATAAATGAATACATATATAGTGATTGGAATTTATCAATGCCATCATATTCTATGTACACAGCCGGGTGGTCGCTGATCTGTAGACCTGTCTAACCTTACTGCATCATCATCGTATATTGTACAGTGCCTAATGATGGACAGGTTGATGGCTATTCATCAGTCGAGATGCCCGTTTTCGTATCTGTGCTGATTCGAATAGCAAATCGGGCAACCATTCATCGTAGTGTACTGAGTTTCCAGCTATTTTATGTTTTACTAAAATTCACTGTTCATGGAGCATAACTCTTTTTCTATCGAGTGTATCTTTCATAAGCTTAGTAGGTTTTCTAGGTTCAATTTAATTTACTGACCTTATGAACGACAGAGGCATCCCAATAGGGTGAAAATAGCGGTCGTGACGTGGACTATTTCTGAACTTTCCTACACAGAAACAAAATCCATTGGTAGAAATACTGTATTGCTGGTTTAAATTAAATACCTGTGCCTAGCTGAGTACTGCGAACTCAGCCGATTCTATTTTTCAAGTGAGCAAGAAAACCTTCCGAAGTTTCAAATTGTTTTGCTGAAACAGCTCACGAAATTGTATAGAGATTGCTGACGTTTGTCGTACGTAGTGTGCGTCACGTATACGTATACGCAAAATGTTTTCATCGGGAAAAAAAAACTTCATAGCGGAAAATTTTCCCGATGAATACAAATCACTTACACAATCATACTTTAGCAATCTCTATATTAGGTTTTGCACCGTCGGGGTTAACCTCAATCTGATGACAGTTTAGTGGTACTGTTTACGTGGACTTAGTCGATTTTTTCTTGAGTGGATTTTCTCTATAATTTTTCAGACTGCAGTGAGATGTATACCACATTTCTGCAATATTCACGAGCAACATCTTTGCAACGCGCTGTTGCTCGACAATTTTCTAGTTAAAATTCGGAAATTTTAGAATTTTTTTTTTTCGAAAAAAACGACTAAGTGCTTGTAAACAGTACCACTGAACTGTCAAAAAGGTTCAGGCGATTAACACTGAGTTCATTCGTGACGTCACGCTGCAGTACCTAATGCGCTGTTCCTCGACAATTTTTAAGTTAAAATTCGGAAATTTTAGAATTTGTTTTTTTCGAAAAAACGACTAAGTGCTTGTAAACAGTACCACTGAACTGTCAAAAAGGTTCAGCCGATTAACACTGAGTTCATTCGTGACGTCACGCTGCAGAACCAGTTCAGTGGTACTGTTTACAAGCACTTAGTCGTTTTTTCGAAAAAAATTTTTTAAAGTTTCTGAATTTTAACTTGAAAATTGTCGAGGAACAGCGCGTTGCAAGGATGTTGCTCGTGAACATTGCAGAAATGCTGTTTACATCTCACTGCAGTCTAAAAAATTATCGAGAAAATCCACCCAAGAAAAAATCGACTAAGTCCACGTAAACAGTACCACTGAACTGTCATCAGATTGAGGTTAACCCCGACGGTGCAAAACCTAATATTCATAGTCAGGCGGATAGAATTTCGATCCATCAAAAAGCGGAACCAATTCAATTAGGTTTTGCACCGTCGGGGTTAACCTCAATCTGATGACAGTTCAGTGGTACTGTTTACGTGGACTTAGTCGTTTTTTCGAAAAAAAAAATTCTAAAGTTTCTGAATTTTAACTTGAAAATTGTCGAGGAACAGCGCGTTGCAAGGATGTTGCTCGTGAACATAGCAGAAATGCTGTTTACATCTCACTGCAGTCTAAAAAATTATCGAGAAAATCCATCCAAGTAGAAATCGACTAAGTCCACGTAAACAGTACCACTAAACTGTCATCAGATTGAGGTTAACCCCGACGGTGCAAAACCTAATATATTGTAGACCAACAATTGAAAAGGCACTATCAACTTTTATAAACAAAACGTTGATTATTCTTTCCTCGCCAATCGAACACAAATTACCGGCATCATCGGATAGAGGAAACTTTCCTCAACCCAAAGATGGTGTTAGTTAGCGTAGGCAAGCCTTGAGTCACGAGAAAAGGGTTTCCGAAGTTTTGTTCGCAATAGCTGATGTGCTCTTTTCTGTTGTTGGTCATGATTTGCTCGATTGGTTCCGCTATTTGACGGCTTAATTGGTTCCCGAGATTCTATCCGCCAGACTATGAATATAGCGACTATACTCCTCCTCTGCTCCAGAAATAACTTATACATGGTGATGGGAGTGCACCTGCCCACAAAGCTCACATGACTTTTATAAAGTTTGATTACATTCTTGTTTCAGCAACCTAGTTTTGGCATTATTAGTATCAAATAAAAACACTTTTTCGAGCATCACGCTCGATGATTTACATTATCCGCCTACACAGAAAAAAAAGTTGTTGAATATTACATAAAAACTGCTGCAACCAGGTCAATCCATCGGTTGTGTAATATAACGTTGTACGATGTACATCGATTTTGCGAACAAAATTACATCCATTGAAGTAATATTGTATCTGCTTTTTGCTATAACATCATTATTTCATACATCAGCTTGAATTACATTGATCGATATTACTTTTTTTTTTTGCTGTGTACTAAGGCTCTGAACCATTTGGCGAATTTTTTAACTTTTGGTTAAAATTTGACAGATGGAAAGTTATCGGTTAACCCTGCTATCCGAGCATGGTTATTTCTGACAGACAAGAAGTTAAATTTTGACAACCGTGGCTCGAAAACCGGTCGATCGACAGCACGGGGATTTTCGAACATAAGAAATAACTTTCGAAATGTCACTTTTAACCACGAGTTAAATTTAACTCGGCAAATGGTTCACAGCCTAAGGTTGATGTTTCGACAGTTTCATAATTATAATTCTTAATTTGTTTTCAGTAGGTGGCAACACCTTTACTTGTTGTTCAAACTACCAACGTGACTTCTGAGCTCTTTTGAATGTTTGGCTCCCGTTTGACAGTTTGACTTGGCTCCCAGATGACAAGCATTTTGAGTTAGTTCGCAGGTTCGCAGTACTCAGGTACCTAGGGGCAAAGCCAACTGTACTCAAAGTTAATATTTTTGCTCCGTGTAAATTTTAGTAACTCATAATTCAAGACCAACAATTGAAAAGGCCTCAACTCCATTTTGTAAACAAACTTTGTAAGGCCATTTTCTCGCGAACCGAAGTCCGCCAAGGAAAACCAACGGAATGAACAGGTAGGAGAAATTCTCCTCCACCCGATTGTGGTTTAGGTTTGCGTTTGTAGGTTTCGGTTCGCGAGAAAATGGCCTTACAAGGTTTGTTTACAAAATGGATTTGAGGCCATTTCAATTGTTGGTATTGAATTACTCAACAATGATCAAAGTAGTTCGGCCTTAAATTCTACAACAAATACAAACCACAGTGTGAATAAACATTGTGTCAGAGGAGGATAATCAATTGAATTCATTCACAGCAAGAAATCTAAGCGAATTCTAAGAACTTTGCTTTGAAGGGAAATAAAGTAAAGATGGCCTAACATTAAAAATGTATCCGTATCACCCGGCAAGACGTGCGTTATGAGGCCTTCATGTGCTTGACCAATCAGAGGTTCTGCATGTCTACAATTGCAAATTGCATCATCTTAAATAGGAATGAATAAGTTGAGAATCGAAGATGGATGGGAGCTTGATTTGGTTTTATGAAAACATAAAGTTTTAAATATGGCTATACGATGACAATGTATTGCTTAGCGGCGCCGATGGTGTAGTGGTAAGCGTGATTACCTCTCACTTCAGCAGGCCTGGGTTCAATCCTAGTGGGCGCCGCCGGGATGTTCTGGAGCATAACATCTCTGATCACGCCTACCTTCGGAAGAGAAGTAAAGCCGTTGATCCCCGCTTCATGAGTTGATGGGTCGATAGGTAGGGTCCAGGTTGTGGGAGCTGCCTCCCTGGCGTCGGTAGCATTGGTGCACGGAAAACAAGATCGATGGAAACAAATCAAGGATTTGCTTTTCTATTAATCTCGGGTCGAACTTAGGCATTCAGACAAAAGTCAGAGAATACTATGTATTACAAAGCAGTAGTCGTAACTTTGATGCCTTTCGAAGATTCAAACTGTGCTCAATTTAACCAAATATACCTACTTCGGCAAATTTATCATATTTTGGATCTGCAAATGCTATGGTCAACGTCGACCGATAACAGCCTGTACTAGATTCGGATGAAAACGGCTTACAAAGCATTTGAACGAAGCAGTAGAAACAACAATCAATACGAAACTAACGATTTTAAATTGGCTCACCACTTTAGTAGCCTATTGGTCCCAAGCAAACGATTAACGTACCCTATTCTAGTTGAAATTCTATTACTACACTATGTTTGTTTTGATTCGCTATGAAAGTTTGACAGATAACATCAGGGGTGTGTGGATTCATGCAGAACATGCAGGGGTGAGTGAAATAGCTTGGGACTGCTTGGGACCGTTGTTCTGGTACTGAGTGAGCCAAAAATAATAATGATTTTCTTCGGGACCCAGTGGTCTTAGAGTTACCTCTATGGTAGAAATGTCATGGCACAGACAAACAGACATAATACATTGAATATTTTTCACGGTAAATCATCGTCGCTAAAACATTACCGCTATCTGTTAAGAGCAACCGTACCAGTCGTTGCCATTTGCGGCACTATTTTACTTACGCACAGCCTTTTCATTTTGGCTCGAGTTTTGGCTTAATCGCTGCAAATTATTTCTGTGATGACTACTGGGCGATCCGCAATTCAAAAACCCAGTAAAATTTTACTGACTCCAGTAATCTAAAGTTAGTG